AAAAAAAAGAAATATTTATTAAATTATATTGCATCTGATATCTGATGAAACATCTCATGTTTTCACATTATTTAGTCCAGCATACTGCCTGAATTTGTGATGTATATTATCTTTTAATAAAAGAAGTTTTGTATCTTTTTAGTGAGGATTAAACATGTTTGAAGCATAGAGTTTCTAGAAGTAAACACAGTAAAATGATCATCTGTTATCTCACCATACAAGCCAGGCATTAATTCCATTTTGATGTATTTCTTTAGAATTAACTCATTTTATCTGTTAATTCCTGGGCTAATGGGCTTAAACCTTTGTATTCTTTCTTCAGAATAGAAAATGTGGTGACTTGGGAAATGTCAGTTTTCCATAGAATGTCTTTAATTTTCTTTCAGCCAGCAAATACTGCAAAATGTTGGTGGAAGAAGGAGGATTACAGCTTCTGTGTGACATCCAGGAGCACAGAGAGGCAAACCCCCAAGCACAGCAGATTGCAGCCTCCATTATAGATGACTTCAGAATGCATTTCATGAATTATCAGAGACCCCCTTTGTGTTGAACGCAGGTTTTGACCTAAGAGGCTTCAGGGGTGCCCTCCCTCCTTCACCGTTCAGTAATCAAATGTTGAAACAGTTGTCCTTGGAGTTTTTGTGTCAGCTACCCAACAGTTGAATTTACATGATACCCATAATCCCAAATCAAGCTGGAATCATTCTGGGAACACCCCTTCAACATCAATTTTGAAGAATCAATCTATGGACCCTGGGAAGAGCTGGTGTTGGAACAGCTTTGTAATGTACTTAGGCCTGGACACCTTTTTTAGTTTGGGAAAATGTCAGGGGAGTGGGACTGGTTCACCCAGTAGAAGAAAGGAAAGACGTGTAGAGAGACCTCCATGTGTATGTTCGTTCTCCTGAGTTATTGTTCATGCTTATGTTAAGCTACGAGAGGAGGAGTGGGAAATAGATGCTTATAAATATCTCCTTTAGAAGGCAGAACTAATTTTTCCCCCCCTTGGATACCAGAGTACTTTCTACTTGGAGAAAAGAACGTATGTTTAAAACTTTAAGTATTCTTTGTCCTTTTCCCCCTGCAACTTTGCAAACCAGACTGAGCATAACATTCTGTGTAAGTGGGTGAGCTGGTGGGGCATAGTTGTATATTTAGATGAAAGATCATACGGGGCTGGTGCATCTTCCTGCCTCAAAATTTAACTTCCTCCCTCACAATTTCAGTGGGACTGTGAACAAACTTTGGAGGAAGAAGGGCCAGAAAAATAGTTTGCCAATGATTTCAAGGGGTTTTAGTACCCCTTGTGGAGATAAGGAAAACACAGGCTTTTTTGAGAACTAGCTACATCTACAATATAAACTATCAGAAGTTTTTTTGTTCATGGCCTCTGCAGAGCTGCTCCGAGGAATGGAATCTGAATTCCTTCCTTATTATTGACCACTGATAAATATGTTTTGTCATTTATATTTAAGTTTTAATTTTTTATAAAAACAAAAGTAAATCCTGTTTGATTTTTCTTTTTTTTGCTTAGTTCAGGGCTAGATTTTTGGGCTGTTAGCTAGTGTGGTCTCATCTTTTGCAATCAAGTGAGGAAGTGTTGTAGATAAGCAGGGCTTATAACCTTTTTCCTTCCATATTCCTTAAACAGCACGTTTGTTAACACACAATTCCAACATGGGTGTCTGAGTTTCCCAACCTGGGTTCCAGTACCTCAGAACTGTGTTATCAGATCCTACTTTTGGCTGATGGGAGGGTGTATGGCAGTCGAGTTCTAGTATCAGGTGCCCTTCAAGTTCTGTTTCGTTCACAACAATCCTTGGGGGTAGGTTAGGTTAGTTTGATGCTCCTCACATAACAAGTGAGGAAAGGGGAGTTCATGAGATTGTTACTTGGCTGAGTAGTCCTAGCTGGTCCTGTCTGTGCTGATTATAAGGCCTGGCTCTTCCTTATTGCTCTCCCATCCAGCACACACGTATAACCTTGGGGCATATTTGTATTTAGCAGCAAGTCAGCAGTGTTATTCATATGCATCTAGGCTCATGGTGGTTTTCAACCTGTGGGTCACTACTCCTTTGGACTGTATTAAAGTTTCACGGCATTGGGAAGGTTGAGAACCACTGGTCTAGGAGCTTTAGGCTAGCCAAACCTAGGCTGAGGATGCTTATCCAGAACAGGGATCCAGTTAGAAAATGGGCACAAGCCCACAGCTTACAGTGCAGCCTTGGTACAAGAGGAGGGTGGGTATGTATCAGCCCCTCTTTGTTTTTAAGGGTGTCACCCGCTCTTCACCTTTGCTTATGCTGTTCCATCAGGCTTCCTTCTCTTTACTTTAGATTTCTGTATCCTCTCAGGCGTCAGTTCTAATGTTACTTGCCTGTTCCTGATCCTCTCTCTCCAGCAGAGTTAACATGCACCCTTCTCAGGGCTCCTGAAGGTCAGGAGTGATTTCCCATCACCCTGTAACTTACACTGTATTTTCACAGCAGTTACTTTGTTTAGTCCTCACAAGATGATTGTAACTTAACAATTAGGACATGTTTATTGAATGTAGGTCTTTATTTTTTTTTTAAATCTTCACAACAGGCCGGTGCAGTGGTTAACACCTATAATCCTAGTACTCTGGGAGGCCGAGGCGGGTGGATTGCTAAGTTTGAGACCAGCCTGAGCAAAAAGTGAGACCCCTTCTCTACTAAAAATTGAAAAACTGAGGATTGCTTGAGCCCAAGCATTGGAGGTTGCTGTGAGCTATGACGCTATGGCAGTCTACCCAGGGCGATAGCTTGAGACTCTGTCTCAGAAAAAATGTTCGCAACAGTCACTTTGCAGACGAGGAAGCCGAGGCCTAGAAGTTGAACAGTTTGTCCAAGGTTGCACAGCAAGTAGTTGGTCGAAAGCTGGGGTCTGCTGTCTGATCCTGACACATGCTCATTCAGCAACTAAGGTTTATTTACTGTCTCTTTTGCCTGGAGGATCTTTTGACATCTCTAGTTAGTTCCTTATAACTGAGAGACAGAGGTTAGGGCCTGAGAGCCAATGATACAAAGACCTAGAGAGATCTATTTTAGTCCTTAAAGTTTATTATTCAAATAGGGAGAGCCAGGCATTCTCCAAAGGAAAGGTGACCCTAGTGATTAGCTATAGTGATGATAAGAAAGGCAGCAGTGTCTAGTCAGCACCCAGGGACCAGTCGTGTTCCATCCATCATTGTCCTTGTGAGGAAACAGAAGCCCAGAGAGGTGAAATGGGGAAGGCAGTTCTGCTGCGGTTTTTCCTTCTGGATCCTGCTCTTTAAGGCATCCTAAGGTTAAACAGGCTACTTGCCAACAAATCTTGGGAGCCGCTTCTCCCTGAAGGCCGCCATGCCCTCCAACCGGTCCTGGGTCGGGATGTTCTACAACAGTGTGTGGAATATTAATGTGGGGGTTGGGGGGAAATCAGGACTACAGGCCAAAAAAGCACTGCTTAAGCTTGTTCAGCCTATGACCAGGCCATGATCCAAGTGTTTCTGACTTCAGTCTTGAGCTCCTTTGTCTCCTGGGGAGAGCAGACTGGCTCTGTAGGATCTGCGCTCCCTCACTGTTGCCTCTACTCACACGCTACTTACAAGTTTCCAGGGAGCTCCCTACCTCTGCCACAGTCTGGGAACAAGGCTCCTCTGTAGAGAAGGAAGATTAGCCTTGGCAGCGAGAAATCTGGCTTTGAATCTGAGCATATAGCCAGTTCCCACTAGGTTCTATAAGCCTAGAAATGTTTTGGATATTTGTTAATCCAGAGATCAGCATTTTTTACTCACATAAGTGAGTTCCAGGTTTACAGGCCTTTGAACACACACAACCTGCAGGCTATAACTAAGCCTTGATGTTCCAGCCCAGCCTGGCCACTACAGTGGCCGCTGGTACAGGGAGGGCAGCAGCCGTTTCAGTACCTCTGTGTTTTCCTGTGATTTTCTGGGCACTGAGTGGGGCAGGATGTATCCCCATCAGATGGTTGAGGAAACAATCCCAGAGAGAAGCAGGGTAGCACCACTGGAACCATTCTAGGTTAATTATGGGGAGGACCCCTCTAAATTGGGCCTGTATTATACAGTGTCCCCCCAACTCGGGCACAGCCTCTGTCAACAAGCACATGTGGATGGGCAGCAGCCACATACCTGGGCATAGCATATCCCTTCAATGGCCATCCCTGATGCAATGTCCACCTGCAACAAAGAAGCACTGTGCGGATCTATCTGTATCCATGCTGGGAGCAGCCTGCACTGCTGCCCACCAGGCTGTATGAACAGAGATGGCTGTGGTCATAAAGTCCCTAGCTAAAGCAGGAACACCCTAACAATGACAAACATAGCTGACAGAATTGGGAGCTGTGAGAACCAAATGGTTGTTGTAGCCTGCAGAGAGGCCGAGTCAGGGAGGAGTCCCCAGTCTTCCATTTGGCTTCCTCACCATGCCTTGCACTACCCTGTTAACTTTGCCTGCTTCTGTTGCCCTCAAGAGGGTGGTCCTGGGCTTGTATGACCTGCTCCTGGCAGTTTCTCCAGTCTCCAGGCCCAGTGCTTATATGATTAGCACTTAGAAGTACCATTCCAAGACAAGTACCACGTACAGATGTGTGTAAACTCTACTTTTCACCACAAGGGTTATCATCCCTATCACACAGCTGAGAAATGGGAGGCCTAGGAAGCTGAGCGTTAACAGAATGCACAAGCAGACCATCTGTGCTCCAGCCTGCGTTCTCCTACCCTGCATGCTGCCTGTCTTCCCCGAGTTCCCATCAGTCAAGCTGTTTGTTTTTATAGCTCTGTTCTGCTCAGACTTCCTCTGGAATTCTTATCCTTCCCATGGCCCAGCTCCAGAAAACATTCTTTAAGCCAGCATTGTCCAGTGTGGCAGGCACTAACCACACATGGCTGCTGAGCATTTGAATTGTGATTAGCTTGAGGGAAGAACTAAATGTATTTGTTTTTAATTAAGTTTGAAAATCAAATGCAGTTTTATGGACAGCACTTGAGCCTCTCCAGGGTGTCTGCTTAGTACCATTAATCTTTTATTAGTGATTTGTGTCTTTCTGACCCTTCCCTACTTTGGGGGCAGTGACCATATTTCACTCATCTCTATGTCCCTGTTCCCCACTCCGGTCTAGATTCAGGGTGTGGTGAGGGAATCGATGGATGAGTTGAAGTTCAGGGGTGGGTTGGCTACATGCGCAGCATCACCCTGGGCCCTGCCCTTGAGGCCACATTACTGACTCCCAGCACAACCCCACAACATTGCCTGAGGAGCCACACAGACCTGGATTTTTTTCTACTCACTTCCTCTATGACCTTGGGCCACTTATCCTTTCTGAACCTCAATCTTTTTCCTCTGTCCAAGGTGGGCAAGGAGGATAAAATGTAAACAATTATTTGGTCAAACTTCCCATTTTGCAGATGGGTAAATTGTGCAAAGCAAGAGGTCAGAGTCTATTTGAAGACTCCAGTTCTTGACTTCTTTCCAGCCGTGCTGTCACTCTGTGTCCTGGCCATGAGTGACTTTAGTGGACCCAAGTCCCAAAGCCAAACCCTCTCACCTCTATTCCTCGGTCAATGGCGACTTTGCCCAGCCGCACAGCAATGGGGGCCTAGGGAAAAGGAAACACTTGGTTGAGGAAGGATCAGTGCTGATAGAGATTTGGACGAGGTAGTGGATTGTGTCTCATCCCAGCTGTTCTACTGATGTCTCGTTAGTGGTCTACCACCTGTTAGTTGAGGTTTCTTTTCTATAAAGGAAGCCAGACTGATCCTTGACCCTCCCCTTCTTAACCATCTGGGCTTGTCATTCAGTCTGTCCTTCCAAGATATCTAACACACTACACTTTACAAAGTGCTTTCCTGGCCTGGAGCCTGTAGCACAGTGGATACAGCGCCAGCCATATCACACTGAAGTTGGCAGGTTCAAACCCAGCCCAGGCCAGCTAAACAGCAATAACAACTGCAACAAAAAATAGCTGGGTGTTGTGGCGGGCACCTGTAGTCCCAGCTACTCAGGAGGCTAAGGCAAGAGAATCACTTAAGTCCAAGAGTTTGAGCTTGCTGTGAGCTGTGATGCCATGGCACTCTACCGAGGAGGACATAGTAAGACTTATCTCAAAAAAAAAAAAAGTGCTTTCCTACCCACAGACTTTATCAGAAAAAGAGAATGATTTTTACAGGGTTAGTGTAGAGGCTCTAAATGAAATAACTACATGAAAATGAAAAACTTCAGCTTGGGAGAATAAAAGACAAAAGTCAAAAATGGAAGAAAAATACTTGTGAGAGATGAGTTTCCTTTATAAAAGTTGGTAAGTTGGTGCAATTTTTGAAAAACATATACAAAAGACATGTAAAGGCAGTTCGTAGGAAAGGACGTCCCGCAGCTGCAGACAGGTCCTATAGTGAGGTGGTGCAGCAGGACACTGTGTCCCGAAAAGGTTGGTACTGATCGCTGTTGCTGAGACTGGAGTTTATTTGCATGCATCGACTGAGTAAATTTACATGCCTTAGGAAGGCAATGTGGCGAAATTAGATGCATGTGTTGCTGCAATTTTTGCCTGGGGCCAGGTTTGAACCCGCCACCTCCAGTATACGGGTCTGGCACCCTACTCCTTGAGCCACAGGGGCCACCCTGCATGTGCTCTTTGTTGCAACTCCATGTAGGGTTTTGTATGAAGTCACTTAGTCTAGCGATTTTGGTATAGCAAAATGATAAAAACACACAGGTTCATCAGCAGGTACAGGTTAATGCTCGCACATCCATGCCATGACTGAAAAAGTATACAGTTGTTTAACACATAACTGATGGACCTCATTCTTTTAAAAGTGGAAAAATCTCCAAAAGATGTCAGGTGGAAAAGGCGAGTTGCTTCCTGGTGTGTATATTATAGTTCCATTTGTGTAAAACGTGTTGGTATGACTTGGTTTTGGGGAGCAAAGTTCGGGAAATGGAGAGCTTCGTTTTTTGTTTTGTATAGTTCCATACTACTTTAATTCTTTATTATGTATATTTTAATTGTTAAATTTTCTGTTAGAACTGAATTAACCTCTAAAGATACTTTGCTTGTCCTAAATTCCACTAAAAGGAATTTAAGAATTTAAATATATGACTACATGTGTAAAATATGTATTATATGTAATGAAAAGATCTGGAAGACTATGCAAATTGTTTTGTTTTGTTCTGTTTTTGAGAAAGAGCCTCAAGCTGTCCCCCTGGGTGGAATGCCATGGCATTACAGCTCACAGCAACCTCCAACTCCTGGGCTCAAGCGAGTCTCCTGCCTCAGCCTCCCACTTAAGTAGCTGGGACCACAGGCACCTGCCACAATGCCTGGCTATTTTTTGGTTGCAGCCATCGTTGTTTGGCGGGCCCGGGCTGGGGATTCGAACCTGCCACCTTAGGTGTATGTGGCTGGCGCCTTAGCCACTTGAGCCACAGGCGCCGAGCCTATACAAATTGTTAACAGTGATGATCTCTGGGGAGGGGAAAGGTTTGGGCTCTTTGGGTGACCAACTCTCCAGGCTTGGTTGTGACTGAAGGGTTATTAGGACACAGGACTTCTACTTTTAAAACCAGTTTAGCCACAGGTAAACTAAGATCACCTGATTTTCCCCTTATATTCTTATCATTCCTCTGCTCTCTCATTTGCTTGCTATGAATATGTATCATTATTTTTGAGACAGTCTTGCTCTGTTGCCCAGGCTACAGTGCAATGGCCTAATGATAGCCTAGAACAACCTCTAACTCCTGGTCTCAAGCAATCCTCCTGCCTCAGTCCAAGTAGCTAGGATTATAGGCTCATATTACCATGCCTGGCTATTATTTCTAAATTGTTTACATATAGAGTCTTGTTATGTTGTCCACGCTGATCTCAAACTCATGGTCTCAAGTGACCCTCATGCCTCAGCCTACCAAAGCAGAAGGATTACAGTGCCCGGCCATCATTATTATTATTCAGGTAACTATCAAGTAAAGAAACTGATTTTTCTTTTTTGAGACAGCCTCAAGCTGTCCCCCTGGGTAGAGTACTATGGCATCACAGCTCACAGCAACCTCCAACTCCTGGGCTCAAGCGAATCTCCTGCCTCAGCCTCCCGAGTAGCTGGGACCACAGGCGTCCGCCACAATGCCCGGCCATTTTTTGGTTGCAGCCGTCATTGTTGTTTGGCAGGCCCGGGCTGGATTCGAACCCACCACCTTAGGTGTATGTGGCTGGTGCCTTAGCTACTTGAGCCACAGGCGCCGAGCCAGAAACTGATTTTTCACTAAAGAAAGTTAAACTAGGCTCGGCGCCTATAGCTCAACCGGCTAAGGCGCCAGCCACG